GTGTTCAATAGAGTAATTGGCCTCCAGTTTTTAAGGAATAATCTAATTTTGTCTTTCTTCGGAATTAAGGTAATGACGCCTTGCTTTTGGGAAATTGAAAGCTCTCCAGATTCAAAAGCATATACTATCAAATAATGACTAAAGGGCAATTGGTAACCTGTCTAGGTATCAAGATATGGGTGTCTCCAGGGTGAGAAGGAGCATTACCCCCAGCTCATTTGAAATTTTGAATAATATTGACTTAACACGAGGATATCATCATATTGATATGTAAGGGTTATGTGCTGTGAGGTTTTGGATATGGGTTTATCCAGAGAGAGATATGCATATCTACCTGAGGGACCGCAGGGACCGAAGGTAGATGTGCATATCTTACGAGGGGTGAACCAAATATCCAAACCGACCGTACATAACTGCTTTATCCTATACCAAGTAGAGTTTTCAGTGAAATTACCGGATATGCACCGAAGCGGGAGATATGGCGGGAGATATGGAGGTTCTGGATATGGAAACCTCAAAATCAGGATACGGGATATATCTTATATCTTAACTTATCTCCCTAAAACTCTACTTGGCATAGGATAAATAGAGATTATCCTTTATTATGCACCTTATTAAAATACTCAAATCTGATTGGTTCTTAATTGCTTGTAATTTGGCAATACTCTGCTTTTTTCTGAAAACTGCCGGATATTTTTTTAATATCTGACCCTTTCGAGAAAAAGGGTCGGATATTTTTTTCGATGATTTTGCACTCGAATGTTTGATTTTCAGGTATGCACTGACTTGGCCTTTACAAGGTCACAATGACCTCAATATCACTTTGGATGCACCTGAACACTATACCATTATTAACTCCTTACTAAATACCATATTATACGCATAATGGTTATGGATGCTCTGTAGGCACGTTTTATTTACTTGGGGTGACGGATCCTTTCTGAATTAAACAGGTACCATTTTTTCACTTCAGAAATTTGAATCGCGACATTCAGACATTGACAACAGTGTTGTCTTCGTCGTTTTCATCGCTAGAATATCCGCCATTCTTATTGCAGCCGTGGAAATATGTAGGAACGATCAGCACTGAACAGTTGTTGTTTTTGGAATTGTTGTTTGGAGATTAAAATATCGAATTGGAAACCATATGAACCTATTTTCCTTGCTTGCAAGTTAACAATTGAGCTCTTGATTCAAAAAATGTAATTAGTAATTTGGTATTCATATCATTCTTTGATATTTAATTTAACATTTAATGAATATACCAAAAATGTCATCCCTGGGTCAGCTATACTGGGTATACTTCATTAAACACATCAAAATGATGTATCAATGTAATGTAGAAAAATTAACTAAAATTGTAATTCTATTGTAAATGATGCTAGCAGATTACTAGTGTCAGCTTCCTGTAATATAAGTTCATATGAAATCCACACATATGTGGGAAATAATGATACATATTAATACATACACTCGTATGTCCGAAAGCTGAAAACTGGTCAAATCATTATTCTAATGTGCTATAGCATGTTGTTTTATCAAGAAACTAGGTGTTGTTTTTGAGAGTTTTTTCCATAGGTTTTGGGCCGATATAAAGATGGTAGCACCGACAGAATCCAGTATTATCTGTTTCTACAAAGAGGTTGGCTCCAAGGATCGAAACTCGATATTCCATATCTAACAATGAAAACGTCGATTATTCGTTAACCGAATATAAATTCAAAAGATTCGAACCATCATCTCGATCATTTCTTGCGAGTTTTGGAATTTCCCGTTTGGAAATAAGACAAAAATTTACGATTCAAATGTTGAGGTGAACAAAATGGCGGCTGTTTGAATTCGAATTTTGTAATCACGACATGCCCATATATGACAAAAATATCGATGTTGCACTCTGGGAGCAAATCTACCTTGCTTTAAACAAAGCTCGAATTTCATGCTATAAAAAATTATTTTTCTATCGACCTAAGCCTATGGTGCTACCATCTTTATAACGGCATTCTACCAATTACATTGCATCGCATGTAATTTCAAATAATAGGCAATACAAGTACATCCCCTTTACATTTGTACCCGGGCATTTGTACTTATGTTTTTCAAATGTTGCCCTTGTGGATTTCAACTTAAATCAAAATGTTGGTAGACATGTATGGTGTCAATATTGTATCAAAATTGGACATCTTATATTTATGGGATATCTCCAACACATTGAATGGCGTCTAGCAGAATACATACACAATCCGTGTGATTTCATACACGATTTGTTTGCACATACTAGAGTCAGATCCATAGATAATTACTATCGATTTCAAAAAGACATTCTGTCGCACATATAATAAATTCTTACCTCAGGGAATTAAGTACTATATTTTCTCCGTTCTGGAAAATACAAATATAGTGGAATTTGTGTCCATAATGACCATTTGGATCTTAAAAATTTGAAGTGATTTCCAGTTCCACATGTTAAATGTCCACCATTTTTGAAAATAATTGTGCATAATCTCAAAAACAATTTTGCAACAATCCATTTTAAAATAACATTTCACCACTTACACAACTATAATATGTATTAAACCATACTTTATATGTCTTTATCAATCAATTGATCCAATAACATTACCAGATATACAAATTGAACAATTTACATTTTGGTTTGAGACTACAAAAACAATGGCTTCCATTTGAAAAGTGGATTCACATGTTTACAAACTATCCACCATACGCTGATATAAAGCCTTGGAGACATTTATTCTGCTAATAATCATTTACAGGAGTATATATTCTAGCAATGGAGGAGTGTTCAAATTCAGCAAACTGTGCCAAAAATTTCAGGTGTCTTTTATTTTTGGATCAGACTGTACATGTATGCTAGTAAAATCACACTTGTACATTCGGATTTGTGAGTGCATTGTTTAAAAATGACATCGAACAGAGTATACAAGTCGAACAAATTCGTATACGGCTCACACAAACGTTTCTCCGTTCACAAACCATGATGTGAAGATCACACACCTTGATGTAACATAAATTGGTTTCTAGAGATGTTCGAGATTTTGTTCGCGTTTTGTTTTGAAATCTCGTATGACTTTTGACTTTCTATGGAGGGCTCCGTATTGTGGAAAACAGGATTTAAATGTCACGTGACTTCAAATCTCGCACCCTATGAGGTGCAAGTTGTTTGTGACAGCCTATGCGAGTGCGAACCATCCCACGCAAGTTTGAACTCAATGCGTGTGTAAAATTTACACGTTCGTTCGAAATTTACATTGATCTGTGTGAAATTCTTTCAGTATGCTATGCTACTTATAACACAATCCGACATTTCAACACTACTTTGGATTTTTGCAAAGTGATTCGAATCAAGTGTAAATCTTTGTGGGACACTTGATAGAACCATAGATTGAAAATCGCATACGATGATGCGAGTTTCGAATATAACGATGCGTATTTCGAATTCGCATATTATGATGCGAGTTCCTGATCATATAGTTCGAGTGTCACATCATATGGTTCGACTTTTCACATGGATCGTGTATTGTCCAATTTTGATACAAAATAAATGACTTTTCACATGGATCGTGTATTGTCCAATTTTGATACAAAATAAATTCCATAGACATGGGTTTCATTACAATGATTTTCATCAAGTCACTTATAATACAATCTAGTTTTTGCTAGCCTAGAACCTACAAAAGGGGCATTTATTTTGGGCCAATATTGCCCTCTGGCTTTTTGGGAATTTTCTCAAAGAGAAACCAGCGAGAATGTACTAATTAACCATGCTGTCATTGTCATTAATAAACATTGGTTCCACGGGGATAGAAAAAAAGAACACTATATTTCATATTTCAAGATATGAGTTTTGACGAATTAGAGCATGTATACACTGATTTTAAACCCATAATCACCGGTGACACTTTGATATCTAAACTGTATTTCCAACTCAATACAAAAGGGTTGCCTCAACCCGTTTTTCAAATCAAAATTTCTTGACTTCCATTGTGTTTCGCCAAAACGAGTTTGAGAATGACCCAGTTGAATAACCCAATCTACATGTATGTACCGTATATTGAGTACAATAATAATTCAAAAATTCTAACAAAACACTTTTCTAATCTACATAAGCACAAGAAGGCTATATTGTTATTAATATGAATTTCATCAAAATAAACATATGGATTACAAGAATTACATACATTAATATATAATATATATTTAAGTTTTAATGACATATTAATTTATTATACAGGTTTTAATTTTTCATTTCCGTAGTTTCATTGCACTGTTACTTTTTATTATACTTTGCCTCTAACTTTAAGAGGAATCATTCGACTTATTAAATTGTCTATACTGCCTATTATCGTTGAGAGCTTGATTACAGTTTGTTTAGAGTTTAATGTACATCACTAGACTAAATAGCAGTTTGGAGATTGAGCTCTAATCTACAGTTTCCAGGGTTGACTATATATTTACATTTATATCATGCATTCATATTCATTCTTTAAACAATGATCGATTATGCTTTGATGTCAAATTTTTTTCCAATTAAACATTTACATGTATATATAATTTTGCCACAAATCTCAACTTTTGAGCGCATATTGTTCATTTGTATTACACTGGTGATCCACTCAATTACGCTTGTTACCGAAACGGATTGTTTCGGTAACAAAATGTCCGAACCTCGAGGGTACCAGTTTTTTTCTTTTTTTCCTCATTTCATGCGGTGTAGGCAGAATTCCCACGACATTTTTATCACAAATAGGTGTCAGTATTATATCGTAAACGGAATGGGCTAACAGTGTAAATCTTAACCGTTTTTTAAAGTTCTGTTTATGTAACAAAAGTGAGTTATTTAATCGACAATTGTGTTGTCTTCTGAACTATTTGTTCGCAACATATACATTTTCTTAATCATATGATACTGACATACGTTTTTGATAAAAAAAATGTCTTGGGACTTCAGCCTTTAACGCATAAAATAGGGAAAAAAGAATATCCGTACATTCGAGGTTCCGACATTTTGTTACCGAAACGAACCGTTTGGTGACCAGTATAATCGAGTGGATCAACAGTGTACTAGTAACTTTCACTTTATATACAAATTTAAAAATATCATTCTAGTAAGTACACTAATCTGCGTGTATTTGAAAATCATTCTCTCTTTATCATTTACATGATAATGCGCCTTGTATTTTGACTCTAACAGTTCAAAGTAGACAGCCCCTTTTGCAAGCTTTTGTTTACATACCTTGTTACAATGTTTCATCATATTATATCCTCTAGTTTGGTTCCAAAAGTAAGACTTTATTAGAAAAGCCTGGTATGTAAATAAATCAAATTGAATTTAATAAAATATCTTCTCAACTGTCAAATATGTGTGTTTTCGTTTTTCTACAAGGACTGTGAACCTACAGAGCAAAATGTTAAGTCATCATAGAATGAGTTTTTTGCATTGCAACCAAATTCAGTATATTTTATTCAATATAATATTTTAAGGTTTGTACAAAAAATGGAACCAGACTCGCATATGAAAAAATAATAACTCTCACAAAGAAATTACTCTTACAGCAACATGCTTGTGGTACCTAAATACTTAATATATGCATTATGTAAATACTAGATATACGTAAAGCCGACTTTTCATTAATTACACCAAAAAGGTAACATCTTATGATTTATGATATACGTATATGAACAAACGAATATGTAAGTAGGATTTAACGTGCCATGTCATTTTTACGTCAATGTTCAGTCCCTCGACATCAATATATTTATTTAAATTCAGAAAATTTGAATGTTATGCTCAACCTAATGGTAACATTCAAATTGGAGTTGAGGGTATTTCCTGATATTTCCTGTACTTAACCTTTCCCTTGTACGTCCTACTCAAGCCGTCCTTCACGGCCGTCCAAGTATCAGTCACAAACGATTTCATTTTGGTAGTTATGCTAGCTTCCAACTGTTCCCCTTTGTTCTGTGCAGTTTTCCCGGAACTTGTCAAACGGATCTTGACCATTCTTCACCATCTCCGTCTTGATTCTTGGCTGCTGAATGTTGGTCAGCATAGTCTTCTATGTATTGTCATTGGGGCTCTTATATTTTATGATATATGCCTCCACGACCCTCTCGTCCAAGCGATTTCAGCTCTAACTGGCGATAATTGCAATACTATTGGTTTCCCAGGACGAATCGTGTCTCCCATTTCATAATTTGGTTTCAAAATTTAGAATTCATTAGAAAAGTCTGGTATGTAAAATAAATCAACTCAATAAAAAATCATTTCATCTGTCCAATTGGTATGTTTACATTTTTTCAACAAGGACTGATAACCATTGGTACAGAGCCAAATATTCCCATCGTTCGTATATGAGATTGAGTCTATTTTTCAATATATTTTCAACAGTTTATAAAAAAATATGACACTCTATGAGTAATAAAAAGCACCTCTCAGAAAGATATCACTGAAGTGTTTCATCCATATACTAATCAAGTATATCAGTTTCCTTGTAAATTGTATGTAATATGTAAATGGTAATAATATGGCTGCGTTATGTAAATACTAGATATACGTAAAGCCGACTTTCATTGCCCAAAAACAAAATGTTACATTTTATGATAGCTAAGTAGGGATAAATGTGCTACATTATATTTTCACGTCAAAGTTCAGAAAACTTGAATGCTATGCTTAACCTAACGGTAACATTCAAACTCGCGTTGAGGGCATTTTCTCAGATTTTCTTTTTTTAGATGTTCCTTTGTAGACTCTGCTCAAGCCGTCTTTCATTCTTGTCCAATTAACGGTCACAAACGATTTCATTTTTGTAGTTATGCTATCTTCCAACTGTTCCCCTTTGTTCTCTTCCTTTTCAAGTTGCGCCTCGAAATTCTCCCGGAACTTTTCAAACGGATCTTCACCTTTTTTCACCATGTTAATGAACATCTCCGTCTTGACTCTTAGTTGTTTTAACTGTTTAACACGTTCGTGGTAACCAGGTCTTTGTTCTGCCGACTCTGAATCGATTAGTGTATCAATGTAGTCGAGCGTTGACATTGGATTCGGTTTTAATGCGATTTCATTCAGGTATTCAATAGTTTGTCTCACCTTTTCTGTAAGCATCCAGACGGTTGTCTGGTGATTATCGAAGTCTTTTTTCAAATTATCGATTAAGCGCTCTTTTGTCGTCTTGCCATCTACTCCTTGTTCATAGCGTTCTAACAAATCTTTAGCTTGTTTTGTAACTTCTCGCCTGACCGTAGTCATCACAAATGGCATATTTTTGTGCGCTGTCCAGTGGCACTTATTTGGACATATTCGACAATTACCTCCTGTCATCGCCCAGCACCCCATTTTGCCACTATCATCTTTGATTGCACATCTCTCATGACATGTTCTGTTACAATTTATACAGTTTGTTGTGTATTGGCTGTGAGGGATGTCCTGTTTTACGATCGTATCTTCGAACACAGTATATTCGAAATCCTTGTTAGCATTTATCTGAGCCTCAAAGTTGATTACGATCTTGACTTCCTCAGTAAGGGTTTCCAATTTGTTCAAGCCAAGACTGATTTCTGTGTGCATTTGCATAACATCCAGCTCCAGTTGATGTCGCTCCACTAAGACTTCTTTTGTCTGTGATAAACTTTTCCTCTCAAAACGTGATAATGCATCAAAGCATAACTTAAAACTTTTCATGCCCATTTCCCAAAACATCTTGTTGAAAGCAGCGTTATCCTCCTCCTCAGTATCATCCGCGGAATTAGCACCATTTTCCTCCTCAATATGATATCCAATGTCGGCATAAATTGCTGAATTGTTGAACTTGAAATACTTGTTGTATTTGAATCCAGCCTCTTTGATCCCACTTAAAACAGGTGGCTTCTGGGCATCAGCAAATGTCAGAAGCATGGTGATATTATCCTCGATGTCTTTTCCAAAAAGCGAAAGTATTTTATCGAATATGTATCTTTGTGTTGGTGTTAGCCGAGGCAAAGATGACTGTGTTACAAATCCAACTGCATCGATGTGATCAATCGAATCCAACCGATTTCCTGTAAAGAATTCACGGATATGGTCTGTTATTTCTTCATCTCTCTTGTAGCCTCCAGTATCACCGAATCCCGGTGTGTCAATGATAGTTAAAGAGTATGGAACTTTGAGACCAGGTTCATGGTGAATCGTGTAAGATGTTATTGATTTTGTTTGACTGATAGCCTGATTGCTGCTTAAATTTTCTGGAATAAGTTTCAACCGTATTGGATCTTCCCATAATATGCCGAATATATAATTGATCATTCCGTTAATCAGTGTGCTTTTCCCCGCCCCGGTAGCTCCAACAATCATTATGACCTTTTCATCGCAAGCCTTGGCCTCATTTTTAATTCCATACTCGAACTTTTTGATAAACTGATTTGCGTTTTCACATGCAAGTTTCATTTTCATTTGAAGAATTGATGGTTTGCCTCCTTTTTCTTCGGTAGATGATTCTTTAACTTTTGCTTTGCAGATTTCCTCTGGCAATGCAACGATTTTAAACTCATCACTCACATCGCTATCTTCGCTAACACAGTTGTCTTTGTACCATGCTTGCACAGAGAATATGATTGAAACGTTTGGTTCAACAGGAATATCGGTCTTAAATTGATGTGCTGTTTGTTGGTCAGTTGTCCCTGGAATGCGCATGGTCTTCCACGTGTTGTCACTGGGGCTCTTATATTTTATGATATATGCCTCCACGATCCTCTCGTCACATTTATCCGGCTCATTCCAAGCGATTTCAGCTCTTATTGGCGATAGTTGCGATACAATTGGTTTCCCAGGGCGAATCATGTCTCCCGTTTCATAATTTGCAGGCAAACTCTTTTCCAAGTGAAGTGCTTCATTAGCATGCTTGCATAAGTCGTCGGGCTCAGCATAGCTCTGGTCGATTGGCGTTTGCTTGAATTCACACAGTTCGCTTGGATAACTTAAGTCATCATCCGTGTAAGACGCCTGGACAGTAAAGGTGTAACTCTCGTTTTCCTCCAAATCTAATGTCATATCTGTTTGAATTGTTTGATCTTTATTTGGTTTCACATTAATTGCCTCCACTAATTGTTTCCACACTTTCTCTCCTGCTTTCTTCCATTGTATGATGTATGACTTTACGTCGTCACTGGTATCTGATACAGCCCATGCTATGCCGATGCGATTGTTTGGTTTTTGCCATACAATCGGCGTCCCGGGCTTTGATCGATTCACTAGTTCGAATTCTCCAACAGGACATATCTCAGACGCCTCAGGGTCCATATTTACTTCACCAAGGTCAACAAGAAATGTCAGAAATGAAAAAAAGTCTTAGGTTTATAGCGAGAGTCCATGGATCACCACCCTTTGTAACGTTAACTTGTCAAAACCGGTTTGGCCCCTTTGCAGAGTCGTTGAAAAGACACACGATCCAAAAATGAAATACGCACAGACGGTAAGATTTACGTATATAATAGTATTTACATTGATGAGTCGAAAAAAATATTTACAAAAGTTGATATGTATATGAACATGTGCAATATAATTTTACTATTTTATATCTTTTTAGATAAGTTCTGTATATTGTTGTAACTCTTCACATCAACAAGTGTGTTTTTCTTAATGCTGGCTCAATCGAGGTGTCTGATGGTTTTAGAAGTGGTGATGCCTCTCCGAGAATGCCCTCTATCTTTCTAGAATCTTACCTGGAAAAATATTGCGGGAAACGCAATTAGGTCCAGAGTCTCAAAGAAAACAAGCAAAAGAATTCACTCCAGATTTCCATCTGGAGTCTAATAATTTAGAATAACTTCAGCTGAGTCCAATAATTAAAATAATACAGTGAGTATAGTAGAGTGGTAGAGGAGTAGAGCGGGGAAGTAATATACCTATAATGTAAAACAAAGTTGCACGAATTTTTGTATTTTAGCAAATATTTTGTAATGATACTTCACATTTAAGATTTTACCAATAAAAGTAATCACGCTGTAAAACAGACATAACGCTGAAGTGAGCTGCATTCCCTACTTCTATTCCAAAAGAGGTTTCTACGATTACTAGACAACCAGCCAAGAATGGCACATTCAGCACCTCTCTTTAAGAAGTACAACATTTTACCTGTAAACCAGGTGTATGAATTTAATGTTTAAAATTTTGTCTATTGTTGTATTTACCAGGAACCTGTTTATTTCAAACTATATAATGATTATTTTAATCAAAATGAATATTTTCACAATTATCCTACAAGAAGAAGTCATGATTTACATGCTAGGGCTTACAAAACAAAAATAGGGTTATATTCAATCAAAGTACAGGGTCCAAGAATCTGGAATTCTATCTCAGATCATGTCAGATTTTTGCCTTCTTTACTTCAATTTAAAATGACTAGAAAGAAAAACTTAATTGCTGAAATATAATTCTATACTGTCACCTCATCTACCTTTCCATCCATACATTTTCCTAAACCGAAATAGAGTTAACACATTGGCAGCCACAACCCACCACCACTGGCCATAAGTTAGATGCATACATATGCTATCAATATGTATAGTTATTATTGAATTCATATTTTTGTCACTAAAACAACTTCATACACTTGTTAAAGTGTCAGTTGATGTATAATTTATGTATCATAACTTCACGAAAAATAAACAGGGTTATAAGTCACGTTAAAATGAATGGTTTCGGCAGTTAAATGCTCCCTCCCCTCTCTCCACTCGGTTGAAGCATACTACGAGGGATGATCATAAAGTTCTCATAATATCTCTCTAATTTATTTATTTTTCAATATTTTCTTATGAAATCTTGACAGAATGTGCAGCATGGAATGTTTTATTAATCCATAGAAAAATATTTAGAATAACAGAAACGTAAAGGCCCGGTCACACCGCCCGGACGTTGCTGGAGCGTTCCTTGAACGTTGAAAAAATTCATCAACGCTCGTCAACGCGCACAAAATGGGGAAAAAAACAAAACACGGGCATTGGCTTAGCGGTGCACCGCTGAAGCCGGCGTTGCTTTAGCGTTGGTTAAGCGGTTGCGAGCGGTTGCGAGCGGTAGCTAGCGTTTGTTTAGCGGTAATGCGAGCGTTGGTATAGCGGCGTTCTGCGCATGAAAGCGTTGCCTCGGCGGGAGTATAAATAGCAGCAGCGTTGGTTTAGCAGCATATCGCGTTTGACTACTGAGCTGAACGGATCTATTTAAGAGTAAAGACCTTTATTGGAATTTGTAACTTTAACAAAAGTCCTTCAAGGATTAAAGAAGAAATGTTTTAAATCTAAAGTGCTTCTATTAATGTAATTTGACATTAAGAATGAATAACATTACAATTTTCTTTAATAATCGTGGTGCATTTCTCCACGTATTTATAGCCAAATTCTGGTCCCGCTCCGACACCTCTATACCAACGCCAAAGCAAAGTTCATCGCCGCCATGGAACGCTGCGACAACGTCCGACACCGTTCCAACAACCCCATGTACGCTGATAAAATGCTAACAACCGCTCCACCGACGTTTGTGCAACGTTTAATCGCCGCCCGGGCAACGCTGGCGAAGCAGCGGTGGTCCAGCGTTTAAGATTTCTGCGTTGGTCTAGCGGATTCAAGCGTCCACGAACTTGCGTCTAGCGGTGCCAAACTTTGACTGGGCGTTGGTGGAGCGGTGATAAACTTTGCCAGGGCGTAAAATTGTCCCTTTTTCAACGCTCGCAATATTTTGAGCAGCTCAAAACTTTTGGAGCGTTATGATGGCCACTCGAGAAACATCCGCGTTGGCCGAGCGTTTACAGCGTTGCTTAAAGTAGCGGTCACACTAGCCGTGTAGGCTCACCGTTCGCCACCGTTTGGCTAATTATGGCCAGACGGCGACGGCTGCATTGTTTTTATACATTTTTGACCGGGACTATACCGTTCTATTCCGGGTCTGTACCGGCTTCTCATCGGCCTTGTACCGGACTTACCGTGTTTCAGAATTCTTGCTTACCGTTCTCGCCGTGTTCTCAACTGGCGCATACCATCCTCTCACCAGGTTTTCACCGGCCGGAACGCCTGGATATCGGGCGAACCGCCTTGATGGCGTCATGCAAACGCTCACAATATTTAACTCACTTTTTGGTATGTATGCTCAACCATCCACGTGTTCAAAGCTAAATGATTTATACAATTAATTTGCTTATACATCTTAATTATGTTCAATAACATTACAAGTTTGTCTATATTTAACTGTACAGTGTGGCCACATAGCTTGTCCATCCTGTAAGCAGCTAGTTGGGTCAACCGAGTTAAGTCTTTCTCTGTAATAGTTAGTATGTTTATTCCATGAAAATACGTTGAAAATGAATAGGTCTCGAGAACTTGACCAATTTTGGTAGACAAACATGCAATATCTATATTTCATCCGACCGTATCACGTTTTACGTTTTTACTATACGTTTTGAAACTAATTGCTCTGAGGGGTAACTATTTGTTTTGACATTACATTTTACGCAAAGCGTTATTGGAAGGTACAGATTGAACCTTTACTCCCCTCCAACGTTTAGAAATATTTTTCCTCATTAAAATGGAGGGATTCGAAGTGAACTGTACTCGAATTGGAATTGAAGTCAGTTTATTGAATCACTAATAAAAATATGCCAAATCTTATTTGATTTCGAAAAAAGACGGCGGTGTTTTATATTATTTTTATAACGTTTTGTAAAACGGCAACTACATATATTTTGTGATAATTGCGTCAACGTATATATTACAGGTCTTAGACCTGCGTCGTTTGAGTTATATACCAAAAAATATTGACTTTTTGCACGCTGGTGACGTCGCGCCTTTTTAAATTAATCGAATAACTCAGAAGGGTATCACTCGAAAATTCACGGAAGACTTCACATCTTTGTTATACCGTAGCTTAATCATTAAGGGATTAATGGGTGAACGTTAAGTTGTCATGAACATGAATATTGCAGTTTTATTGAATTTTCTGACAGAAATCGGCTCTTCCTCCACCCTATTAATTTTTTCTTATATAATTGGTCGTGTAAATGAGAAATAAAGCTTTCACAACTTTTTGATGGACGGTAACGTGAACAGAAAGATCACGTAAAATGCATAAAACAGTTGATAGTTCGCAGTTTGGCTTATAATGCTAACTGGACATTTATTTTCACTTTTATTTGAGCTTTAATCATTTTTGCAATTTATTTATTTTCTTCGTGTATGATAAGAGAAATATATTTGTAACTTGTTTTTCTCAGTGTCTTCAAAAGAATCTCTGTCAAAGTGGTTTGAGTGGATTTGTGGCTTCAAAGTACAAATGAGAAAGTCGAAGAATTGATCTGATGTCTCGAGTTACGGGACAAAACCTTGGACAATACCTGAATATTTAAATAAACTGAAGGCAAAACTGTTGAAACGGCAGAACACGGTGACAACACTGCGTCACGAGGCGGTACAATTGCGAGTTCACGGTAATAGGATGTTTAGAGGATGTTATGGAGCAGTTATAAGGCCGTTAACACGTTAATGGACTGTTACCTAAGCGTTAAGCGGCTGGTACCGTGAAAACCCTTTTTATGTGACCTTTCAAACCCCCGTTTGAACCTCGTTTATCGGACGGTACCCAAGCGGTACACTCTCGTTCGCAGCCCGTCACTGATAGAGTCAACGTCCACCATCGTCCCATTACCGCTCTGCGAACGTGTCCTTAACGGCCGCACCGTCCTTATACCATTCCCGTACCGCTATCACCGTTCGCAACCGAACGTTACTCAAACGGGAAAAGTTTTGAGCATGCTCAAAAAATTCGCCGGGTGTGGATGGACGGCAACGTTCCCTGAACGTTTCTCAACGGGCGGGAAACGACCCACCGTGTGGCCATACCGTGCACCGCCGTCTGGCCATAATTAGCCACACGGTGGCGAACGGTGAGCCTACACGGCTAGTGTGACCGCTACTTTAACGGATGCCAACTTTTGTTAAACGGTGGTGAACGTTAATGCTGTGGTCACACTTGCCGTGTAGGCTCACCGTTCGCCACCGTGTGGCTAATTATGGCAAGACGGTGACGATTCAGCGACGGTCGCATTTCTTTTTGAATTTATGACCGGGTTTATACCGTGCTATACCGGGTCTGCACCGGCTTTATACCGACCTAGTACCGGGCTAACGTGTTTAAAGAGTAGTGGCTTACCATTGTCACCGTGCTTTCAACGGGTTTATACCTTCCTTTCACCGGGTTTTCACCGGTCGGAACGCATTGGTAACGCATTGGTACCGCCAAACCGCATTGAAAACGTCATGAAACCGCTCTCTATAAATCACTCATCTTTGGGACTAGTCTGTATGTGAACATAAGTTTGGACATCTGTCTACTCTTTTCAATTTATTGTGGGTATAACATTATGGCAAAGTGACAAGGACTAGATAATATATCATGACAAAGTTTCATTTGTATTCATATTCAAGATCGTCATGATTAAAACAGCGAGGGTTTCGTTTTTTACAAGTTAAATTTATTATACTGTAACATATTTCATGGATTTACCCCTGATTTAAATCATTTTTAAGTGACGGTGTCTTTAACTAGGCAGAACTTCTGTTCTTGCACATTTTCATTTAGCAGTGCCCCGGGAGAATAGCAGAACGTTACAATACATTTCCAAGGACAGGCTGTCCTCGAAACTAAATGGAGGAACTCGTAAAGCCAGTTACGAGAACGGATCCGTTTTCGTAACACAATGGCGCAACCTTGAAGGTACGATCTATCTTTTTTAAGATTTCACGAGTTGTAGGCAAAATCTTCACGACCGTTTTGGTACAAACATGTGTCAGCATCATATGTTTATGAAAATCTAATAATTTGTGAACGAATAATTCACGAGGCGCCAACATGATCAAAATTTTTCCTCAGTATAATTATGAATACGGAACTGTTAAAAGTGCAGATATTTAACCGTTTTCAACGTTCCGTTTTCATAACTTAAGTGGAGAAGTATATCGATGATTGTGTCGTCTTATGATTATTCGATCGCAAACGTTACGATTTTCTGAAACATATGTTGCTGCCACACAGTTTTGCCAAAAATGTCGTGGACATTCTACTTACATCTTGAGAATTCATGGAAAAAAGTAAAATCGTAGCTGCGACATTTATGAAGAGTTCATCCACAGTGTATTCATCATAAGTTTAGTTTACCTACTCATCACTCTCTTCATAAGTGCAATCGAAACTAAATAAGTATATAATGTCAGGCATAAATCCTCATCATGTGAAAGTCCTTGTTCAAAACACATATCACACAAACTATCATTGCTATAAAAATGACTTTTGGTTTAATAGTATTGTCCAATCCAGATCAGATGTAGGTTACCTCGCCTGTATACTCTAGTAATCATAAGTCTCTACTGATTAAAAAAATATTTTGAGTATACATACAAGGATCGATCAAAAAGTTTCTTACCGTTGGCTCTAGGTTTTATAATAAGAGGAGTTGGATGCTAAAACTTTAACAAGAGACAGGGTAGTTAGTTTGCTTGAAACTCTATGAGTTTCATATAATTATAATTTATATGAAACTCATAGCTATAGAGTTTCAAGCAAACAAACTACCCTGTCTTGTGTTAAAGTTTTAGGATCCAACCCCTCTTATTATAAAATCTAGAGCCAACGGTTAGAAATTTTTTCATCTACTCTTGTATAGTAAATAAGAACTAAATAACACAAATGTCTTTGTAAAACAAATTGCTTATCACAGAAGATACGTTTAACGTGTAATTATTGATATACAGGGTGATCCAAAAAGGTAACCTCAACAAATCTTTATATTTCAGTCATCCAGTATGGGTTTAAGATCGTATTTCGCACAATTAAATCTTATTTAATATAAGTTTCATTGGTCGACTCAAAAACGGTGAACATTTCATGGTCATTTTACCAAACATGCCCGAAATGCCGGTCTTGTCTTAAAAGCAAACTTGAACGTATCGGGTGAAGTTTTCTGACAACACACTCACAAATATCTTGTGTAATTTCTCTCATTTTCCTTCTACTCTATTGTTTTAGTGAAGTCACAAAAGGTACAATTTTGGGAATTCAGATTGTGTTATTTTGGTATGTTTTGGCATTTGGAGCATGTTTTTTTTAAAATGACTATTTTGGAGCATGTTTTGATGAAGACTGACAGTCTGACACGACCAAAAGTGTCACATGGTCAGGAGTGAATAAATCGAAGAGGAAAAAACTGCAGAAACTGCAGAAGACGGTGACAAGCTGCGTCATTAGACGGTACGATTTCGAATTCACGGTAATAGGATGTTAGAAGGATGTTATGAAGCCGTTATAAGGCCGTCAGCACGTCAATGGACTGTCACCTGGGCGTTAAGCGGCTGGTACCGTGAAAACGCTTTTAATGTGACATTTCAAACACCCGTTGGGAGCCCGTTTATTGGACGGTACCAAAGCGGTAAACTGTCGTTCGCAACCCGTCGCTGATTGAGTCAACGTCCCCCATCGTCCCATCACCGCCTTGTGAACGTGTCCTTAACGGCAGCACCGTTCTCATACCATTCCCATACCGCTATCGCCGTTCGCAGCCGAACGTTAGTCAAACGGAAAAAGTTTTGAGCATGCTCAAAAAATTCGCCGGGTGTGGATGGCCGGCAACGTTCCTTGAACGTTTTCAAACGGCCGGGAAACGGCCCACCGTGTGACCATGCCGGCCATCGCCGTCTGGCCATAATTAGCCACACGGTGGCGAACGGTGGGCCTACACGGCTAGTGTGACCGCTACTTTACGAGCGTTGATGATTTTTTTCAACGTTCAAGGAACGCTCCAGCAACGTCCGGGCGGTGTGACCGGGCCTTTAGACAAGAAAACGTTGCCGTAGTAACTTGAAATCAAGGCACCCCGGGCAAATAAAAAACTAGCTTAAAAAATAGCTCAAATAGCCATCCTTAAACATGTTTAAATACATAATAAGTTGTCAAATAAGCTATCAAACACGTTAAATTGTCAAATAATATGTGCTTTTGACTGTTGTGAACTATTATGATGGTCATGTGAATTGTATGGTCTCATAATGGATGATTGTTATGCTTCATTAGAAGTGACTTAGACTTTATGCCTGTCAAATATTCCGAGGAAAATTGATTTTGCCCTTTTAGATCATTTATACATGTTCAGACAGGGTATAATTCAGTTTATATCTTAGCAATATATTTGTTTTAGATCATGCTTAGTCTGACCAAAGGATCTACATGCTTAACATATTATTTTGTCAGTATGAATTTTATTTTTATGAAGATCTCTACATCTATTGCATTCTCTTACTCAGTCATTTCTAATCATCATTATCTTTGAGTCTAAGACTCTGGTATCATGCCTAATGAAGCACGAAAGCATCCCCCATGACATCTCACAATCCACATGATCAATTTTTTAATAGTAAAAGCATTTAATAACATATTCAAGTTAACATTTGAACGTGTTTGGTAATTAATGAGAGTTTATTATGTGTGTTAAATATGGTTAATTAGAGCTATACTTCTCTCAATTACTTTTATTTGCCCCGGGTGCCTTGATTTCCCGTTACTATGGCAACCATTTCTTATTTAATATTTCGTTTAAACTAAATATTTTTTGCTGAGTTAATAAGACAGTCTATTCTGCACATTCTCTGAAAATTTCATTGGAATATATTGAAAAATAAAGAAATTAGAGAGATATTATGAGAACTTTATGATCAACCCTCGTATGTACATAATAATATATGATGATTCACTCACCTGTGTCTGGTGGATGTTTGATTCTCATATACAACTTAACAAATTCAGCAAATATGGAGGACCTGCAAAAAGTACAATTAAAAAACTCCATTTGACAATTGGCTATATTTGAACAAGGACGATTTAGGGTTTGTGTCCTGTTTTTGAAATTTAATCTTATCAGTGACGAGTAAAATAGTTTCTCAATTATCCAGCGAAAAGCACCATATAACGATAGCCAGCATTCAATAGCTACTATATTTGTTATCTAAATGAACATTTATAAGTATTTTTGAATTCCTCCGGCGGATGTTCATCCATTTTGTTATGAAGACGTCATGTGGGGACAGTAAATAAGAAACAGGATTCATAATTTTTGACCTGTCATTGTCGGTAAAATGCATTGCTTAACTGACAAATATAGATCAGTTATAGGTAATTGTCAGTAAAATGCATTGCTTAACTGACAAATATAGATAGGATATAGGTCATTGTCTGTAAAATGCATTGCTTAACTGACATATATAGATCAGATATAGGTCATTGTCAGTACAATGCATTGCTTAACTGACAAATATAGATCAGATATGTGTCATTGACATTAAAATGCATTGCTTAACTGACAAATATAGATCAGGTATAGGTAATTGTCAGTAAAATGCATTGCTTAACTGACAAATATAGATCAGATATGTGTCATTGACATTAAAATGCATTGCTTAACTGACAAATATAGATCAGATATAGGTAATTGTCAGTAAAATGCATTGCTTAACTGACAAATATAGATAGGATATAGGTAATTGTCAGTAAAATGCATTGCTAAACTGACAAATATAGATAGGATATAGGTCATTGTCTGTAAAATGCATTGCTTAACTGACAAATATAGATCAGATATAGGTCATTGTCAGTAAAATGCATTGCTTAACTGACAAATATAGATCAGAAATAGGTCATTTTCAGTTAATTGCCTTTTTAACTGACAAATATAGATCAGGTATAGGCCATTGTCAGTAAAATGCATTGCTTAACTGACAAATATGGATTGGATATAGGTCATTGTCAGTTAAATGCATTGCTAAACTGTCAAATATAGTTCAGGTATAGGTCATTGTCAGTAAACTGTATTGCTTACTGTCAAATATATATAAAATATAGGTCATTGTCAGTAAAATGCATTGCTAAACTGACAAAATTAGATCAGATATAGATCATTGACATTAAAATGCATCGCTAAACTGACAAATATAGATAAGATATAGGTCATTGACATTAAAATGCATTGCTAAACTGACAAATATAGATCAGATATGTGTCATTGACATTAAAATGCATTGCTTAACTGACAAATATAGATAAAATATCAGGATATAGGTCATTGTCTGTAAAATACATTGCTAAACCGACAAATATAGATCGGATATAGGTCATTGTCAGTAAAATGCATTACTAAACTGACAAATATAGATAGGATATAGGTCATTGTCTGTAAAATGCATTGCTTAACTGACAAATATAGATCAGATATAGGTCATTGTCTGTAAAATGCATTGCTAAACTGACAAATATAGATAGGATATAGGTCATTGTCATTAAAATGCATTGCTAAACTGACAAATATAGATCAGATCAGTGAACCTTGAACAGTTCTGTTGAGCTAATATGTACCTGTAATAAATGGTAAATCTAGATCACTATGGCAACTGTCAATCGGCAAACCGCGGCCCCTGACGAGGATGTACACAACCGTAAGTCGTCCTGTCCTTCGATTGCTGAGCAACCCTCTTATCAAACTGAAATATATTTATTATCAATCGGTACATTCTTATGTTCGTCATCAAATAAAAAGCGATTTATTTAGTGTTATTTAAAACATTTATAAAAAGTCTCAAGCATACCTTACAGTATTATTTTTCAAAATAAAGATACATTTCGTCGCTCTGGTGAATAAATGATAAAGACAGCTCAAACCCGTTTAATGATTAATAATTGAAATGATAAATAATAAATTAATTGAGTAATAGTTGCAAGTCACTTTTTCGGGAAACTATAGGGTATCATTATCAATCAGCTTTGACTTGGCATCACCTTTTAGGGCATTGCTAAGAATGTCCTACAGAGTCCCCAGTTGCTGTCTATCCAAACGTACCTTACAGTATTATTTTTCAAAATAAAGATACATTTCGTCGCTCTGGTGGATAAGATAAAGCTGATTGACAGATGCTATCACGTGATAGCAGACTAAATCGCTAAATATGTATCATTGCGCATTGACATGCATTTTTGAATTTGTCAATTCTCACATAATATGTAACCGATCTTTTTGATATTTGAACGATTTGTTAGTGATACTCTTAGGCTACTTTATAGAAATTATTAATCATTAAACGGGTTATAACGAATGACAAAAAATTGAAAGCCCATGATAACATTAAGTTTTAAATTTGCAATATTTCGATTTATTCTATAAACAAAAACAAAATATAAATTAGTTGCTTGAAAAAGATTTATAGAATAAATCGAAATATTGCAAATCTAAAACATTTTGTTATCATAACTAATGACAATGTACGAGAATTATAATTACGTCACATTGCGATATTTTTGTATTTATTTATTTATCTATTTCATATTTTATTCAAATAGTTCGTTTTTACTTGGTTGTTTGTTTGCTTGCATACTATTATTCTGAGAACAGTATTGATTAATAGTAGCCCTTTTTCGAGAAGATAACAATTAGATAGTGTTTATAATGTAGACTCACTTAACCCAGACTTTGAAGTAAAGCTTGCAAACTCAATATGATCGTTGTTCCCCTGTTCGGTTACCGAAATTACGAGACCGTCTCTCGTCTCTCCAATAGCACAGTCGTGTTTTCGCGTCTTGATAGAGCGTCAAATGAGATGGTTAGCGCTATTGAACAATTTATATGCGCATCAAGGAACAACTTCCCAGAAGTGCTATTTATAGTTGTTGTTTTCAAAACTGAAGTCAGAGTGCTCTACGACTATAAATTAAGTTGCCCTTGTCTCGATGAGTCACTCAAACATAATTACTCTATTTTCAAGACTACTTTTTTCATTACCTATGGTTGCTCTGCGATATTACAAAGAATGATGAAAGATAAATCAAATTTCACATTGGAAGTTATTCAATGAGACATATATATATATAAATGATCTGTTAGGTTTAGACAACTCTAAAAAAAGATTTTGTAATTGAAATATACCCCATAGCCTTGCCAAAGTCTGTATTTTCTTTTACTTATCTTGATATTCAATAATACCCTGTGCGCAGAGTCTAGTTAAACTACTGAAGACGAAGCTCTCTTTTAAGAAGTGAAGTCAAACAATTGCAAAGGGTAATTCAATAAGGACTTTACAATAAAATTTAAAAAATATAAAAAGACATCGTCTTGGGCAAGGCTTTTGTTGAGCTAGAGTGGAAAAAACTAAGGAATCTAATATGAATGCGCCTTATATTTCTTGGCCTTCTAATTAACATTGAAATAGACGATTATATTCTAAGTTATACGACATGAGACGACTTAAATTTTGAAATTGTGGATTTTCCAAATTTGGAAAGCAATATTTCATTAAACCCAGCATATGAGGTCTGGAGGTCTGTGTATATTCCAGCTTATTAGATTTAAAATTTATTCTTCGACATGTATTGTAATGACTTCAAAAACTTATGATGTTATGGTCTCGGATTGTAATATATGCATTTGCTCATACCACTGCACGGATCCAGGGGGGCATGCCCCCCCCCCTTTGTGGGCCAGGAAAAAACTTTAGGGCCCAACGATTTTGTATGGCCTAAAACTTTATGCCGGGCTCAAAATTTGGCCCCCGCCCCCTTGTTAGTTTCTTGATCCGCTACTGCATACCATTCATTGCATATATACATTACAAATATTTGTTATACGGATGGGGTTCTGCGAAATTCAGTTTCCATTTCTCAGAAATGTTAAGTTCAAAACAAGAGGAGAAAAACAAATCATTATGTCACATGCAACTTCCCAGAAGAGCACAAACACAAATCTGTTTTTTCGAGATAAGACCAACTGTTGATTCTTTTTTGCATCATTTAATAAAATGGTATCAATTTCATTTTAATATTAAATATCTCAAGTGCTCCAAGTTACTTTTTTTTACTAATAACAATTTAAAAATACAGCAAACCTTTATTGAACGGCATTTGGTGACATTTTTTTAAAATGTTAATGTGTTTGGCTGTAGTGAAAACGAGAGTCTGGGGTATGGCATGTGACACAATGTCACAAAAGGCTCAATCGCACAAAGAGAAAAAATGTATCTCTAGAGGTCTAGAGTTGGGTTCTGATCAACGTTTAGCCCTACATAGCTGCCCCATCACCTAAGATCTAATGATGGCATATTGATATAAATAGTAGGTTGAAAAACGTCAGACATAGTTTTACATATTAGATATCGTTTTGAATGAGTTTTTTGTGATGACTGATTAGACCTCCAACTATAAACACTGAAGTAATTCTGAGAAACAACCTACTCCTGTATTCCACATTCGATGAAATTGTAATTGTTTTATTATTTCTCGGAACTCTACTAATCTTTTGCCAATTGTACCATGATATGCATAGGTCTAGCCAGGGGGGGTGCGATGGGTGAATCGCAACCCCCCGAACCCCCCCCCCTTCTGGCTACTGATTAATGCTTATGGGGTCGTGAATCGCCATACTATGCCGTATTCGATATCGTCAATAACAACGGAATCTGAATTTAAATTAATTAAACAGAGCCGTGGCAACGGACTATGGTAAATTGTGACTACGGACTATTGTGGATGTATTACATTGGAACATATAGGATAATGGACAATGGGAACTAGACGTATGATGAATTGATTGCATCACAATTTTGATTTGAAAAAAAAGTGATTCCCCTATCTTATAGTGTTACACCCCCTCTCTTTTCAAGTAACGTAAGATTTTTGGACTTTTTACATTTAGCCAACTAAGTGTTACCATGGGCTCTACCACTCTGATAGAGCCCATGGTGTTACTTACATCACAATTTCCAGTCTTAAGAATATAGATCTGGTAGTGATTGTAGCATCTGAGCTGTTCTTCTCTGTACATTTTCGCGGCCCGGGATCGCCAAGTGTTAGTCGTCCCGATATTGCGTGTTTCTTGGAGCTACAAAATGCCGTTACTTTTAATTGGTGGATATACATTAACATGCATGAAGAAATAAACATACAGTTCACCGAAAAGTGGAGTGACCCCCATGCCCCCCCCCACACTGGATCCGCCGGTGATACCGGTAGTAATAGTAGGGGAGAGCGGGGTAAGACGGAACGCGGGTTGAGACGGAACGATGGGTTTTTATTGAATAATTGTTTAAAAGAGGTTATTGAAGTAAACTTTTTTTGAAAACATATCAAGTGATCTTTCTGTTCAACCACAATTTTCTTGTAGGCTGCAACTTATACTTTAATAAAAAACCACCGTTCCGTCTTACCCCGCTCTCCCCTAATTAGAGTAGCTTTGAAATCTATCAATGACCATGGGGCAATAATAATTGAACACTTTTTCTTGGGTTATGAGCTTGCTAATAAAAGGTATTGCCCCATCATGGAACCCCAACTACTTCGAACTTCGAACTACCCGGGAGTTCACCTGGAAGATGCTGAACGAAACAACATACACTGGCGCAATCCGGCAGACTTTTGGATTTTGAAATTTCGGATTTTTTTGAACTTCTCTCTAATCATGTTATTACAACATAGATAATGAAACGATAGTACTATAATTTGATCAAAGAAGTAATTAATAATATTTAAATGCTGAATTTATATCGAATGCAGGCAGAACGAGCCCTGCGCAGGGTTCAAAACTTGCGGAATATTTTGAGTTCAAATCATCATGTTGGACTTCGACCAGTTTCATGTAAGTATATGAGCTGCACTTTGTTATGAGATGCAACATCTACGAAAGTGAGCGCACTATATTATTAGATAAAATTCAAACGTTTAATAAGTACTTTTCTAGCATGACTGAGGAAAACAAGTTCCTATACATTATGTCATACAAATCAAATATGGACTCGGAGGAAATCCTGCATTTCATTGAAATGTGCAATAGAAAAGAAATCTCTAACATCGCAACCACTATGTGTACAACACATGTAAATATAACTGTATAAATGTAGTTTGTATAATTGTAGTCTGGCCATGCCCTGATAACACAGTGGCCGTAAATTCTAAATTCTTAAATTCTATATCTAGAATGAACAGAAGAACCTCCCCCCCCCCCACTACTGTATGTTATTATTTATTGACCAGAAGTGCGGAAACATTTAAAGAAATAATAATAATAAGCTAGATGGGAGAAAAATAATCTTGATTTACGTCATTAATAAATATTTAAAATTCAGTCAAAGTGATGTCATATTTGATATCTACATGTAAAAGTACATCTTGAAATATGGTTTCGAAAACTGTTCATCAACTTTGAAAATTTGACTTCTTATTCAGGGAAATTTCCAATAAAAAGTGAAATGTCTTTTCCTGTATTCGACAGATAACATTTTCTTTTACTAGACATATTTTAATTTTACATACTTATCATACTGTAAGGGTGATACATGTATGAAAATTGAACCACTAAACAGATGAATATTTAAAGTAAAGGGAACTTTCTACTATACCCGCCATGCTATCTGACCCGACTGAGCCACCTGGTGATGAAAGTGGTAACTACCTACTCACTTCTGAGTTATTTGGGGAAAACTATTCCTTCAATTCAGTTGGTTTTTGTTGCAAATAAGCCATTCTTGCATACTCAAGTCCTTAGCAGTGCTACACATGTAGTCTTCAACATTCTGAGACACTGCAGGGGAGTTTGCCATTTTTGGCAATGAAAATTGCGTAATCTCAAGGTGGGGTGGGTGGAGTAAATTCTGTCCCAAACTATTTCATCACATGTCAATGTTGCATGATGCGAGATCTCGTGTGATCAAAATATAATACCCATCGTCATTTTGGAATGAAATGAAGTGCATTATCCAGCTCTACAAATAAATTTAGGATACCTTCACATATTCTCATACATCGACATCGTTATATAAGATAATAACTTTACATTTTCTTTTATCTAATGAGCTATTAAAAAATATCTGTGTAGTTGTTCGGAAGAAAATCTTTTGATTCAATTTTGAACACAATTTGCATGATATGGTAAAGGTCCTCTAAGATTTTATTGAACCGATACGCTTCTGAGATTTGAGATCTATTAAAAAAAGCGCAAGGCCACCAATGTGCACATTAGTCAATGGTTTTTGCTATTAATCTAGCAACAATAGCCTACATGACTTGTAATAAATACTCGTAAGTGACATTATCATAATGCAATTAATGTCATTGTTGACTCTATAAAATAAGTTTCTATACGTTATATGAAAAAATCGAAAAAATTGGGACGGAGGGGGAATATGTCTATAAGATATGATATGTTACTTGACTTTATGTCTTACAACTTCTTATTTCCCCATGTTTTCACTTTTCAGAGATGTACCATCCAGTTTCTTACTGAGTTACTGAGTTCATTTTTCAAATACAAGAATTTGTGTAATTGTCTTCCACCTTATAGATTTGTTGAATTTTTGATCTAAAGTAGAAATTAATTGCCTTTTTGATAGTAATACATTAATATTTTATTTTAATTTATCCCACGATTAATGTGTTATCTGTACAATAACAGCTATTGATATTTCTGATATTATTGAAATCAGTGTGATATTTTCCAGAAAATCGTTTATCAGACTCATATGCGTGTGATATCGTTTATCTCACGCATATCCGTGTGATATCACATTTGCATTTCGCGCCACAATATTGTTGGAAATTAGGTCAGATAATTTATTCTCTTGTTATATTTTATTATATTTTATTATTAAAATGTGATTGTAATCATGGGATAAACCCAATATCACATAATTTCTCTTGATATCATTTTATCGCATTGTAGATATCAAATATCAACACTCATTCGCTTCGCTCACTCGTGTTGATGTTTTATATCAACTCGGGGATTAAAATGATATCACTCAAAATGATGTGATATTCTGTATATATTCATATTCACGAATCAAGAGGTCATGAAAGTAATTTGAGAAGAAAAATATCAATATTTTACCTCTCAAAAATATACATCTTCATGATGAGTATATCACATTTTGCACTCGTACAAGGCCGAGATAACACCCTCAATGATGTAGGGAAGAAAATAATCCATACCTCAATCATACTATTCTGGCTAGATAATACTGCAAATGTAAAATCATTGCAAAATTTTGAAGTTGATATGTATCACGCCTTATATTTTTACTTTCATACCCTGGTATATATATAATCAGCTGATATATAGTAGAACCTCATATTTGCAATTTAATGTTCAAAATGGTGAACATGATTCAGAGACACTTAGTTACATTGTCTTAATAAAAACTTATTAAGTGTAGGGCATTGCCTGGATCTCAAAATAGGTGAGGCAAAAATCAAGTCAAAGCAGTGTGATACCAAAAATTTGAATGTGACTAAGTATTATTTGAATGAATAAATCTTAATCAAAAATCCTGAATGTGGCTAAATATTTTTTGAATGAATTAATCGCAATCAAAAATCCTGAATGTGGCTTAATATTCTTTGAATGAATAAATCTTAATCAAAAATCCTGAATGTGGCTAAATATTATTTGAATGAATAAACCTTAATAAAAAATCCTGAATGTGGCTTAATAGTATTTCAATGAATAAATCTTAATAAAAAATCCTGAATGTGGCTTAATATTATTTCAATGAATAAATCTTAATAAAAAATCCTGAATGTGGCTTAACATTATTTGAATGAATAAACCTCAATAAAAATCCTGAATGTGGAGAATAAATCTTAAAAAAAAATCCTGAATGTGGAGAATAAATCTTAAAAAAAATCCTGAATGTGGCTTAATATTATTTAAATGAATAAACCTTGATAAAAAAATCCTGTGACTTTTTGACATTCTGTATTTTAGTAGTTAAGTTCTAAAGTGATAAATGATGATATCAAATTGTTTTCTCATTTTCAGCTGACAGTAAGGTGTCCATTGGAGATGTGACAGTGACAGTAAAAACTCCAAAAAATGTTGAGCTGGTCCCAACTAAATATTGTAAGTACTGATAATGTTTCTTCTTTCATATTATGAGTACCCCTCAGGTGTTTATTTAGTACCACTCTTTTGGCTACTAATGATTTTTATTGAGCCTAGCCAAGATGTTGTTGTAATATTAATTTTGTGAAATAAAATGAAAGATAAAAAATGTGTCACTCACTGCACTAAGGTATATTATGATTAGTGCCAAGTAAGATTAAGTAGCAATAGGATGAACTTTAAGTGTCCACTCAAGTGCATGATTGGTGCCAATTGAATGTTACTGTGTATGATTAGTGCCACTCATTTATATGATAAGTACGAATCAGATGAACTTTATGTGTCCACACATGTTCATGATTAGTGTCATTAAGTATTTGATTAGTGTCATACAAGTGTATGATTAGCACCATTCAAGGTTTGATAAGTACATGTTCAGTGAGTATGTTATTTTTAGCACTGCTTGATTTATTAGAGTCACATAGGTGATTTAGTAGGGTCATCCAGGTTGATTATTAGTACCACTCATTGTATTATTAGTACCACTCATTGTATTATTAGTACCACTCATTGTATCATTAGTACCACTCATTGTATCATTAGTACCACTCATTGTATTATTAGTACCACTCATTGTATTATTAGTACCACTCATTGTATTATTAGTACCACTCATTGTATTATTAGTCTAACTCGAATATTCAAATTAATGCAAGCTACAGTAAATACATGAACATGACCTGTTTGTATGATAAGCATATAATTTAAGTATCCTATTGTTTTTTTTATCAACAAATTCAACAGGTATTATAAAAAATACCTGCTACATTATGATCTCACAGCTCATAGCAAGTCGCCTACAGACAGTGTTTTATAGTAACTGACCCCCTCACCCAGTCTGTAGCCAGACATTTAAGATGGATTTATGCAGAAGGACCTGCTAATTTTAATTTTTTTTTCATTGACTCATACACTTTTAAAATGCCCAGAAAGAACCAAATAGCATCTCAAAATTGTTAAATTTTCCGGGGGGGCACCCCTCACACCCCCCCCCCACAAAACAATGGAAAAGTTCTGAATTTGCCCTGACATCATCAAATACTAGTAGCTCCTTGATATAGTAAATGATTTTTGGAGACTAACACTTACTCGCCCTCTGGCATCCCCACCCCACCTCACTCTTTGGCACCCCCCCCCCCCCCCCCTCTTTAAACCCCCCAAATTGAAAAAAACTGTGATTTTTTCATATTTGTTGTTGAGTCATGTACTTTGAAAGTGCCTAGAAAGCACCAAATAGCATATTAAAATTGTAAAATTTTCTAGGAGAGTTGGCATTTTCTAGGAGAGTTGGAGTTCACATCCCCCACAAAACAATTGAAATAATTTTGAATTTTATGTTTTGTCTCAGAGACTTTTAAAGTTCCCAGACATAATCAAGTAGCTCCTTGATATTGTCAATGTTTCTGGGGGACTAATACTTGATCCCCCTCTGGCATCCCCACCCCACCTCCCCCTCTGGCACCCCCCCCCCCTTGACACCCCTCCAAATAATGGAAAAAATTGTGATTTTCTCAAATGTTTTACTTGACTCATACACTTTGAAAGTGTCCAGAGAGCACCAAATAATGTCTTAAAATTGTAAAATTTCTAGGAGGAGTGGGCCACCCCTCAACCCCCCCACAAAACAATTGAAAAGTTCCTTTATTTTATATATTGTCTCACACTTTTAAAGTGCCCTGACATCATCAAACAGCTCCTTGATATAGTCAATGATTCTTGGAGACTAACACTTACTCGCCCTCTGGCATCCCCACCCCACCTCGCTCTCTGGCACCCCCCCCCCCCCCCCACTTTAACCCCCCCCCCCCAAATTGAAAAAAAATTGTGATTTTTGTCATATTTTTTTGTTGAGTCATATACTTTGAAAGTACCTAGAAAGCACCAAATAGTATATTAAAATAGTAAAATTTTCTCGGAAAGTTGCCACCCCTCACATCCCCCACAAAACAATTGAAATAATTCTGAATTTTGTGTATTATCTCAGACACTTTTAAAGTTCCCAGACATCATAAAATGGCTCCTTGATATAGTCAATGATTTTTACTCGCCCTCTGGCATCCGCACCCAACCTCCCCCTCTGGCATCCCCCCCCCTTTGACAACCCTCAAAAATTGAGAAAAAAAATTATTTTTCAATTTTTTTATTGACTCATACACTTTAAAAGTGCTCAGATGCACCAAATATCATCATAAAATTGTAAAATTTTCTTTGACATTTGGCCATCCTTCAAATCCCCCACAAAACAACTGAAAAAATTCTGAATTTCACTTATTGTCTCAGACATTTTTAAAGTGCCCAGACATCATTAAATAGCACCTTGATATGTTTCTGGGGGACAACCACTTGGTTCACCCTCTCATCCTCTTTGACACCCCCAAAAGAATTCCCATTTTTTAGCTCATTTTTTTATTGACTCATACACTTTGAAAGTACCCAGCAAGCACTATAAATAGCATCTAAAAAGTGTAAATTTTTCTACGGGGAGTGGGCCACTCCTCATACCCCATACAAAACAATTGGACAGTTTGGACACTTAAACAGTCACCAAGTGGCATAATGAAATCATAAAAATTTCTGGCACCCAAACCCAAAAACGAAAGCATTCATTTACTCAAACACATTAAAAGTGCTCAGAAGTTATCAGACAGCATCTTGAATTGGTAGAATCTTCCTGTGCTGCCCCCTCGCTTCCCTAAGAAGAAAATGATTGAAAATTTGAATTTCTTTAAATTAATTCTACTGATTAAAACACCTTAAAGTGTCCAGAAATCACTGAATGTGATCTTGAACTGGTAAAAAGTTTCGGGTAAACATTTATGCCATTCTAGCACACCTTCCCCCTATTCCAGTGTTGCCCAAATTGCTCATTCAATATTTAGTCTAAAAACAATAAAATACTACAAAATAGGCTGAATGGCCCCAATTGAGGGAGTAACCGACCCCCCCTGACTTACGCGATCGCGCGATGTGAATTACGCTGCAAAAATTGACAATTTCATATTCTCTAGTCTTTAGTAAAAACCACACCCCCCTTGGAGAAAAGTGTCTTACGGACCTGAAAATATTATTTTAATCTTATTCTAGTAACTGACCCCCTCCCAAAGTCTATTGCCAGACATTTAAGATGGATTATGGAGAAAGACTTGCTAAGACAAGCTGTCTACCTAATATGGATATCTAGCCCCCTCTTGCATATTATAGGGGTTAAGGGTTTATTTATATATTAAATATTCTTTTAATCTTATTCTAGTAACTGACCCCCTCCCACAATCTATTGCCAGACATTTAAGATGGATTATGCAGAAGGACCTGCTAAGTGCTAAGACAAGCAGTGTACCTAATATGGATATCTAGCCCCCTCTTGCATATTATAGGGGTTAAGGGTTTATTTATATATTAAATATTCTTTTAATCTTATTCTAGTAACCCACCCCCTCCCAAAGTCTATTACCAGACACTTAAGATGGACTATGCAGAAAGACTTGCTGGGACAAGCTGTCTACCTAATATGGATATCTAGCCCCCTCTTGCATATTATAGGGGTTAAGGGTTTATTTATATATCAAATATTACTTTAATCTTATTCTAGTAACTGACCCCCTCCCACAGTCTATTGCCAGACATTTAAGATGGATTATGCAGAAAGACTTGCCAAGACAAGCTGTCTACCTAATATGGATATCTAGCCCCCTCTTGCATATTATAGGGGTTAAGGGTTTATTCATAGATTAAATATTCTTTTAATCTTATTCTTGTAACTGACCCCCTCCCACAGTTTATTGCCAGACACTTAAGATGGATTATGCAGAAGGACTTGCTGGGACAAGACGTCTACCTAATATGGATATCTAGGCCCCTTTTGCATACTATAGGGGTTAAGGGTTTATTTATATATTAAATATTCTTTTAATCTTATTCTAGTAACTGACCCCCTCCCACAGTCTATCGCCAGACATTTAAGATGGATTATGCAGAAAGACTTGCTGGGACAAGACGTCTACCTAATATGGATATCTAGGCCCCTCTTGCATATTATAGGGGTTAAGGGTTTATTTATAGATTAAATATTCTTTTAATCTTATTCTAGTAACTGACCCCCTCCCACAGTCTATTGCCAGACACTTAAGATGGATTATGCAGAAAGACTTGCCAAGACAAGCTGTCTACCTAATATGGATATCTAGGCCCCTCTTGCATACTATAGATGTTAAGGGTTTATTTATAGATTAAATATTCTTTTAATCTTATTCTAGTAACTGACCCCCTCGCCAAGTCTGTAGCCAGACATTTAAGATGGATAATGCAGAAGGCCCTGCTAAGACAAGCCGTCTACCTAATATGGATATCTAGGCCCCTCTTGCATACTATAGGGGTTAAGGGTTTATTTATAGATTAAATATTCTTTTAATCTTATTCTAGTAACTGACCCCCTCCCACAGTCTATTGCCAGACACTTAAGATGGATTATGCAGAAAGACTTGCTGGGACAAGACGTCTACTTAATTGGAGCACCAGGGCCACTCAGACGGACTATAGCCATGATGTACCTGGTGAGAAAAATTACTTATTTATAAGATAATGGGAATGTCCCACCTAAGCTAATGTCCCACCTTAGATAATGTTCTATCCTTATTCATTACCAATTCTACATCTTTGATCTTAAGCATTTCTTTTTGCATCAATTTAAATTTTCGGATAATTAAATTTAAATCAGTTAAATTTTCGTTTGTTGCTTTGAATCAATGATTTAAAAAAATTGTTCATTAAAAGTTTTTTTGAATTATATGGAGGATGGTCTTATGCAGTTATAAAATTCTAAAATTGACACAACATTTTTGCACTCAAACAAGGCTATTCATTTTTTGCATTCCTTTGCCTATTTCTGATAAAATAATCATTGATGCTCTTAAACATAGATTTTTGATTTCTGAAATAAAGATTGTAAATATAAAAATTGTTTGATATTTCTTATTGATATTTTGTATTAGGAATTGACCAAGAGAGAGGCAGAGTATGTTTCACTGTCAAGAGATACTACAGAATCTGACCTCAAACAAAGAAGAGAAATCAAATCTGGGACAGCTTTCTATATTGACCAGGTAAACTCTCAATTTCTATCAAGATGGTAGGGGTTTCACGAGAATTTCTCACAAAGGCCAAATATATGGAAATCATGAATTTAACATGGAAAAGTTGAAAAGTTCCCAAAAACAACAGACGATTTTATGAAATAACTGGTGAAAATCGCCTGTTGCCTGCTGCTAATGAAACCCCTGGATGACTAGGTGCTATTGTAAATGTGAACATTGCTTACAATAATAGCAATGGGGGTCAACTGGAAACGAAGACATGATGTTTTCATTTCAGTGGCGGGATTCCCAGTTGAAGAATTTGATAAGAATTTTTGTGTTCTTGATTTTATCACCTTTATGCTTTAAAGTTTAACTTAATATTTGGGCCATATATAGTGCCTAGGTTCCTGTGACAAAATCGAGAAAACCAAAATTATTATCAAGTTCTTCTACGTGAAGTCCAGCCTTGCTAAAACGAAGACATAATGTCTTTGTTTCCAGTTGATCCTCAGTGAATACATGTAGTCATAGTCTCAGGGTCACCTACACCTGGGCTTGGGCCCATATTATTGAACCTTAATTATTACAAAACCTTTAAGAACAGTTTCATGGTACAGTGATTTGTAATTTCTCCCCCTACCTAGATGTTTATTTTCAGTGTGCTGTACGAGCAGCTGTTGAAGGGAGAATACTCATTCTAGAAGGTATAGAAAAGGCTGAAAGGAATGTCCTCCCTGTATTAAACAATCTACTTGAGAATAGAGAGATGCAATTGGATGATGGCCGGTTTCTTATGGCAGCAGATAGATATGATAAATTATTGAAGGTGGGTCTCCAAAATATTTTTAAAAGGCAATAAATGTATAAGTAACTATATAATCCAATATTAGCGTTTCAGACTCATCAGATCAGGGGATTCATTTTCTCACACGGGAAATCCTTTGAGATGTCTCATATTGGATCCTCATCCTAGTCACATGTCTGAAACCAGCCAATCAGATACATGCATTTTTCTAGGACCATGAAAAGAGTGAATTAGATGCCTGGAAACTAGTAAGAGTCAACAAAGATTTCCGTGTAATCGCACTAGGTTTACCTGTTCCTCGTTACCGTGGCAACCCACTGGACCCCCCACTGAGATCCCGTTTCCAAGCAAGAGACATTACATCACTTCCATTTAAGGTAAATTGTTATTTTTGCTTTAGTGAAAGAACCTTTATGCAAACGGCACCATTACCTAATAGAAAGTAAGCTAGTCCAAAAGTTTGCCAATAGGGGAGACAATGGTACAAAAATTTTAAGAATGGAAAAACCATAATGTTTCCTTAAATTTCCAATTATGCTCAAATCTACATATGCTAGATTTTCATATTTAATTTTTTGAATCCCTCGTATGCATTTAATTGTTAGACCAAATGTATTTTAGATATTTGTATGTTTTAGGACCAGATTGATGTTTTGAATGCAGTCGGACCAAGAGTTCCCTCTGAAAGGTGAGTGCAGTCTGTGGTATATTTACAGAAGTTTTCTTAAAAAGTTTTCTTGATTGGTTAATGAAAACACAGAATGAAATCCTGTGCTAAGGGCTAATGTGGAAAAGTCAGTCCACCCCCGTGGGGATCGAACCCATGACCCCTTGCTTTCATGGCGATTGCTCAAAAATTAACTGATACTTTTTAACTGATTCCTTTTCTATGCTCGACATGACTCTTTGTGCCTATCATGTTTGTTACAATGGACATGGAGAAAATTTATAAGAGATATATAAATAAAATGTATACGTGGACCAGTGGTGGTCCCAAATAAACTCTCTATGAATATTTTCATTTCCAGTTTTATTGAAATGTTGAATCGCCAGCACCTTTCAGCATAATTCAAAAGAAACAAGAAAATGAACTTAAAATCTTTAATTAGGTATTTATTTCCACATATTTCATAAAAATGATAACAATAAGGATTCTTTTAATGGATATATTTGAACTAATTTCAATTTTCAGTACAAATTAAATATCTGTCCAGGATAAGGCAATTTTAATTAGAAAATTGTTCATGTCTATTGTCATTCAGATAATCTCAACTTTCATCATATAATGTGTCCAACTTTAAATATGAAACAATCAAATATGAAATCAATCAAAAATCGTCTTTCTCCAAAAGAAATGCATATTTGAACGCCTCTTAATAAATGAATGTATTTCTGGTTCAAATTTTAAATCTGCATCAGACTTCCTATGTTAAGAATGTGGATTTTAGATTAAACAGGTTTTACTGTAATTGCAGATCATAACAGAATGTTGCAACTTAAAATTTCAATCAGTATACTTGAGCACATTGTCATTTCCACGACAAATAATTACAACTGTATGGGTCAGGCCTGAAAATATCTATCAATATAATTTGAATGACATACTAGATGATCAATATCCATTGTTCCTTATTTATTCTGTTTGTTGAGATTCATGACATGTATAGTAGTGTGATATTCTATACACATTGTAAAATAGATTCTAACTCATAACTTGTAAACATACAATAAAACTATCATATCCAATTCCATCTCCATTCAAATAGATTCTCTCTTTCATTTTATGACATGTATACATACAATAAAACTATGATATCCCATTCCATCTCCATTCAAATAGATTCTCTCTTTCATTTTATAACATGTATACATACAATAAAACTATCATATCCAATTCCATCTCCATTCAAATAGATTCTCTGTTTCATTTTATAACATGTATACATACAATAAAACTATCATATCCAATTCCATCTCCATTCAAATAGATTCTCTCTTTCATTTTATGACATGTATACATACAATAAAACTATGATATCCCATTCCATCTCCATTCAAATAGATTCTCTCTTTCATTTTATGACATGTATACATACAATAAAACTATGATATCCCATTCCATCTCCATTCAAATAGATTCTCTGTTTCATTTTATAACATGTATACATACAATAAAACTATGATATCCCATTCCATCTCCATTCAAATAGATTCTCTGTTTCATTTTATAACATGTATACATACAATAAAACTATCATATCCCATTCCATCCCCATTCAAATAGATTCTCTGTTTCATTTTATAACTTGTAAACATACAATAAAACTATAAAATTCCATTCCTTCTCCATTCAAATAGATTCTCTGTTTCATTTTATAACATGTATACATACAATAAAACTATGATATCCCATTCCATCTCCATTCAAATAGATTCTCTGTTTCATTTTATAACATGTATACATACAATAAAACTATCATATCCCATTCCATCCCCATTCAAATAGATTCTCTGTTTCATTTTATAACTTGTAAACATACAATAAAACTATAAAATTCCATTCCTTCTCCATTCAAATAGATTCTCTGTTTCATTTTATAACATGTATACATACAATAAAACTATCATATCCCATTCCATCTCCATTCAAATAAATCCTCTCTTTCATTTTATGACATGTTTACATACAATAAAACTATCATATCCAATTCCATCTCCATTCAAATAGATTCTCTGTTTTATTTAAAACTTGTATACATACAATAAAACTATCATATCCCATTCCATCTCCATTCAAGTAGATTCTCTCTTTTTCATTTTATAACATGTATACATACAATAAAACTATTATATCCAATTCCGTCTCCATTCAAATAGATTCTCTGTTTTATTTAAAACTTGTATACATACAATAAAACTATCATATCCCATTCCATCTCCATTCAAGTAGATTCTCTTTTTTTCATTTTATAACATGTATACATACAATAAAACTATGATATCCCATTCCATCTCCATTCAAATAGATTCTCTGTTTCATTTTATAACATGTATACATACAATAAAACTATCATATCCCATTCCATCCCCATTCAAATAGATTCTCTGTTTCATTTTATAACTTGTAAACATACAATAAAACTATAACATTCCATTCCTTCTCCATTCAAATAGATTCTCTGTTTCATTTTATAACATGTATACATACAATAAAACTATCATATCCCATTCCATCCCCATTCAAATAGATTCTCTGTTTCATTTTATAACTTGTAAACATACAATAAAACTATAACATTCCATTCCTTCTCCATTCAAATAGATTCTCTGTTTCATTTTATAACATGTATACATACAATAAAACTATCATATCCCATTCCATCTCCATTCAAATAAATCCTCTCTTTCATTTTATGACATGTATACATACAATAAAACTATCATATCCAATTCCATCTCCATTCAAATAGATTCTCTGTTTTATTTAAAACTTGTATACATACAATAAAACTATCATATCCCATTCCATCTCCATTCAAGTAGATTCTCTTTTTTTCATTTTATAACATGTATACATACAATAAAACTATTATATCCAATTCCGTCTCCATTCAAATAGATTCTCTGTTTTATTTAAAACTTGTATACATACAATAAAACTATCATATCCCATTCCATCTCCATTCAAGTAGATTCTCTTTTTCATTTTATAACATGTATACATACAATAAAACTATTATATCAAATTCCATCTCCATTCAAATAGATTCTCTGTTTCATTTTATAACATGTATACATACAATAAAACTATCATATCCAATTCCATCTCCATTCAAATAGATTCTCTGTTTCATTTTATAACATGTATACATACAATAAAACTATCATATCCCATTCCATCTCCATTCAAATAGATCCTCTGTTTCATTTTATAATATGTACAATAAAACTATCATATCCAATTCCATCTCCATTCAAATAGATTCTCTGTTTCATTTTATAATATGTTTACATACAATAAAACTATCATATCCCATTCCATCTCCATTCAAATAGATCCTCTGTTTCATTTTATAGTATGTATACATACAATAAAACTATCATATCCCATTCCATCTCCATTCAAATAGACCCTATGTTTCATTTTATAATATGTATACATACAGGGTGATCACTAAGTTCTGGGAATTGGTCTGTCATTTCAATATTTTTCAACCAATTCAGTTGAAACTTCCAGCAAATGTACATTGTATAATTCTGAATTGACAGACAATGTTTCATATACATATCACTTTTACAATTTATTTTATTGTACAGTAAAACCTGCGAACAGGGAATGCTCTTCGGACTGGAGGAAAGTTTCCTTGTTCAGAGGTTTTCCCTACAGAGAGGGGCCGCAATTTCAGCAAACTCAGAATTGCCAAATAAGCAATTTTTGTATATATTTGAGCATTTATTAATTTTACCAATGCTGACTCCATACTTGGTTGCTAGACCTTGTTGTGACATCTTGGAAGATGAATGAAGGTCTCCCACCTCCCTCCTTTAGCTGAGGGTAAGGAGCATTCTCCCGATGTTGATTTTAGCCCCTGCTGCTGACGTATGATGATGTCTAGTTGTAGAAAGATGATATAATGTTGCCAAACGTTCAAATGAACCTCATCATTGGCATAAATACAAGTCACTACGGAAATTAATCCATAGTGAAATTCGTAAAGAACATCAGCGCTACATCAACGATCTGCTTGACATTGATGAAAGCGAAATCATAAATGAGAATGTTCAGCACAAAGGCATTACCAAACGCTTCTGGAGCTACATAAAGTCTAAACGCAAAGATGCATCAGGTATCAGCATGCTGCGTAACAAAGATGGCGACGAAATAACAGACGCCGCCCAGAAAGCAAACATCCTCAATGACCAATACAATTCTGTATTCACAGATGAGGATGCCACTCTACCGACAATGGTACCTAGTCAAATTCCTGAAATGCCAAATATCAAAATTTCGACAAAAGGAATTCACAAATTGCTAACTGGCCTAAATCCATCAAAAGCCACTGGACCTGATCTTATTCCGACTAGGGTCCTGAAGGAATGCAGTGACAGCATATCACCATTCCTTCAAATAATTTTTCAACAGTCTATCGATGAAGGCTTAGTGCCTATGGACTGGAAACATGCCAATGTTACTGCTATCTACAAAAAGGGACGAAGAGATGAGGCTGTGAATTACAGGCCTGTATCTCTGACGTCAGTTCCATGTAAAATAATGGAACATATTATATTCCATCATGTTATGGCCCACTTTGACCTCTATGAAATTCTAGTAAAATTCCAACATGGATTCAGGTCAAAGCACTCATGTGAAACACAACTTGTCAATACAATAGAGAATATAGCTCGGGCCCTAAACAACAATAAACAAACAGACATGTTGGTATTAGACTTTTCCAAAGCGTTTGACACGGTGGCTCACGAACGCCTCTTGCTCAAACTCGACTATTATGGAATTCGCAATAATAACTTGAACTGGTTCAGATCCTGGCTTTTGGGAAGATCACAACAGGTAGTGCTCGATGGTGAATCAAGTTCAAAAACTCCAGTAAAATCAGGAGTTCCTCAAGGAACAGTTCTTGGACCACTCTGTTTCCTTGTTTATATCAATGATATGGGCAATAACCTATC